CCCCCACCCCGCCGCCTGCCCTACCACTACTACGAGCCCAAGGGCCCCGACGAGTGCACGACCTACATCCACAACGAGCGGAGCCGCCGCGGCAACCACCACCGCTTCATCACCGAGAAAAGGGTCTTTGCCAGCTGGGCCGGCCTCTACAACATCACCTTCTCCCACCCCTCCTGGACCTAGGGGCTGCCCCACGCCTGCTGGGCAGCTGGGGGTGGATGGATGGGGGTCCCCTGCATCCCCCTGGCAGTGGTGGCATCAGGCGCCACAGGACCGCTGCTGTTGTGCATGGTGGCTCCTGGCACCTGGGATGAGTTGGGTTTTGAGCTGTGTTTTGGGGATCTGGTGGTGAATGTAAGATTTGGGGTGTCCCCTGAGCTGGGTTTTGGGGATCAGGCGGTGAATGTAAAACTTGGAGTGTCGCCCCTCCCTGTGCAGGATACTTGGGGGTGATATCCTGCCCCATCCTGGTCCATGCACATTGCAGCCCCTGTGAGGCTCTAAGGGGGTTCCAGGTCCCCTCGGCTCAGTTTTGGTTTGCAAAGCTTCTGGGGTCATCACAGAGACTTTCCCCCAACTGTCTGGGTGAGGAGACTCCTCTTGGAGCTCAGCCCCCCCCACCATCCCCAGCCTCTCATTCCAGCCCTCAGTCATCCTTCCCACAGCAGAACCCCACAGTTTTTGGTGGGACCCCACAGGGGTGACATTACCACCCTCCCTGTCCCAGCACCCCAAAACCACCAGCCCCTCCCAGCACCGCTGTGCCCCACACTGCCAAAACCTTTTCGAACTGAAAGATGGGATTTTTGGGAGCTTTTTGGAGGTTTTGGCTTTTTTTCTCCCCACTTCTAATCCTGGGGTCTCTGCTTGGGTTTCCTGGATGAAGGAGTGAGCAGGGGCTGCTCATTAGTGGAAACAAAGAGTCAGCAGCTGCTTATAAACAACTTAGAAGTGGGCAGGTAGTGGGGGGCAGTGGTGCCTCTTGGCACCCTGTGTCTGGGACAGGACTTTGTCCCTAATTTCTCAGCAGCAGAGAAGCTGATCTGGGGAAAGCACCTAAATATGGCATGTTTGGGTGCTGTGCCTTGGCAGGAATCCATTCTCAGTTTCCCTCTGGCTGTGGTTTTGGGGGGCTCAGTGCTGGGGGAAGCAGTGGGGCACCCATGTTTTGTAATTGTTTGTACAGGAATAAATATTGCTGCAGTCTGGTACCTTGAGCCTGGCTCTGGACGGGATTTTGGGGATGATGGCAGTGACCCCCAGCAATACTGTCCCCACTGGGCACTCAGGTGACCAGCATGTCCAGGTGGGATCCATGTCCAGTCCCTCACTGATTCCAGCTCTGACAGTGACAGGTGACCCCTGAGACCTCCCTAGCTTGTGTCACCTCACCCCCAGCCAGGTGCCCTGGGGTCACAGGGTCTTGGGAAGGGGTCTCTGCAGCCACAGAGGAGGAGGAAGGGCAGGTGAGTGCCAGGACTGAAAGATCACCAGTGCCTGGCTAAGGTTTGGTGGCACAGAAGGGCTTTGCCAAGACATGGGCACAGAAGGGAGCAGAACCATGGCACTTATCCTGGTCTGGCACACCCTGGCAAGCTGTGGAGGGGCAGCTGCTCATACACAGATCACTGATCAAACAGATCACCCCAAACTATGGGATAGACAGCACCTGCAACCACCGAAGCTCCTCTTCCCCCTGCTGAATTCCCAAGAGGAATTTGAGATAAGATAAAGGTGGTGCTATCGTCCAAGCATTACCTCAGATTAGGGATGGTAAATAAAACTGAGCGAGAAGAATGTGTCACTGATAAAGGACACAAAGAATCCACAAGGAAAGCCAGCCAGGTAACTGGTGGGTGGGATCAGCTCCAGCTGGGTAGAAGGTAATTCTGGCACGGGGAGATAATAGGGACCCGACTGGAAGAGAGACTGACATGGGATTAATTAGCATTAGAAGAGAGGGAATCATTTAACCAATGGAATGAAGGAGCTGTGTAGCCAATGAGCATTAATGCCTTCATGTGCAAAAATGTATAAATAGTGAGAAGTTTTCAACAACCTCGGGACCCCCACCACCACGAAGATCAGGGTGGGGAAGGACCAAGGGGATGCTGAGGGACCCACGGGTGGTGACAATCTTCTGCTTGGCTGATCTCTCTCCGCAGATGCACAATCCCTCTTTTCTATTTCTTTCTCTACCTCACATTTTATTGCTAATAAAATCTGTGCCATTTGCTTTGGCATCCGGAATCTCTCAGTGAGCAGTTGTCAACAAGGACTCAAGACCTGCGGGGTTTTACACGCCTGGAGCTGAGGGAGAGGGGTGTGTGAGCTGGGGTAGGGACATGGGGACATAGGGACATTAGGGACAAAGGTGGTGACACTAGGGATGGGAATGGGGACATAAGGACATTGGGGACAAGGGTGGTGACACTAAGGATGGGAATGGGGACATGGAGATTGGATGGGGACATTAGGGATGGACATAGGGATGGGATGGGAGCATGAGGGTATTAGGGACAAGGATGGGGACGGTAGCGACAGGAATGGGCACTATGGATAGGCATGGGCACTAGGGACAGGCATGGGCACTAGGGACAGGGATGGGGACATGAGAACGGAATGGGGGCAGAAACGGGCAGGCGACACGAGGCCAGTGACACGAAAAGCGTTCCCGTCCGCGGAGCTGGGGGCGGAGGCGCCGCGGAGCCCCCGGGCCGGGCCGGGCGGGGCTCGCTCCCCTGGCGGGCGGCCCCGCACCCCGAGCCGGGAAGGTTTCACCGCGCTCTCCGCCCCGGCCGTGCCCCCCCCATCCCCGCCCGTCCCTCCCGGTGCCCCCGCGCCGTTCGCTCGCGCCGCCGGTGCCGCGCGCTCCCGGCGTGCCCCGCGCGCCGCCGTGCTCTATAAATAGCGGTACCGGCGGGCCCGGGCGGCGGCGGCGGGGCCAGGATAGTGTGAGACCCCCGGGCCAGGTCAGTGCGGGAGCCCTGGGCCAGGTCAGTGCGGGACCCGGTCGGAGCGGGACCCTCAGGCCAGGGCGGTGCGGGACCCCCGGGGCCCGGTCGGTGCGGGCACCGAGCCAGCGGCGGGCCCGGGGCAGCGTGGGGGGCTCGGCTTGGCACTTGGGAGGGTGGCGGGGGCGCCTCAGCGGCGCTGGAGCCGCCCGGTGCGGGGCTCGGTCCCCGGGAGGGGCTGCGGCGCGCGTTCCCCTTCCGTTCGGTGGGATGGGAGGGGTGGATGGAGCTGAGATCGCTGGGGCACCCCCGGGTGCAGCCCGCAAGGGCCTTGGCTGGGGGGGCACGAGGGCACCCTGAGCCCCCTCCCCACCCTGAGCCCCACCCTGAGCCCCGGCCCCAGCGGGTCAGTGCCCCCCATCCCTTCTGGGCCGGTCACCTGCACATCACCCTCACCGGCACCCCTGGCACCGCGCTGGATCAGCACCCAGCTCGCCCTGAGGCCCGCAGCCCCTGTCACCCACCGAGAGTGCTGCCCGCTCTCCCGGGGCTCAGCACCCCCACAGTCAGGGACCCGGGGGTCCCGCGCTCCCCGAACCCCCTGGGGGCCATGTCAGCACTTTGTCCCCGCGGCGCCGGTGGGCTGTGACCCGGTGCCGGTTTCAGCGCGGCCATTCTTAGCCCCTGCCCTTTGGAGGCTGTAACACGACCTGCCAGCGGCTGCGGGTGCCCCCTCCCTGCACCCCGTCCGGCCGGTTCGGGGTGACGCACCGTGCCCAAGCAGCTGGGGCGCTGCGGGGCTGGGTGTGGGCAGGTGGGGTGGCCAAACAGCCCTCGAGCTCCTGGGGGTGCCATGGGGTGCTGCACCCCCTCCTTGGGACACCCCCTAAACCCAGCCCGTGGGAAGCCGGGGTGCTGCCTCCATCGCTCGGTGCTGCGGGGGCACCGGGCATCCCCAGCGGGTTTCCTGCTGCCGGGCAGCACCTCGGGCATTGGGATGTGGGCAGGGCAGGGGAGGAAGCCGGCAACGTCACCGCGCGTCACCCGGCATGGGGATGCCCTTACCGCAGCCGGATGCGGAGGGTGACTGCTGGGAGCCAGGTGAGTGATGGCCGCAGAAGCAGAGATCCCTCAGCTCCCTGTTCCAGGGCCGAGCCAGGAGTTGTGTCTTCTCTGCCATCCTCCCAGCCTGGCCTTGGAGCTGGGCACCATCATGACCAAAAAGGGAGACCCTTTTTCTCCCCAGACTGTGGGTGACCTGATGTGCTGAGTTGTTTATCCTTCTCTTTCCTGGCAGCCTTAAGTGCTTCTGTGCCTGAACCATCAGAATGGCGACAGGTGAGTGATCCATCTCCTTGCATGCTTCTGTCCCCTCAGTGTCCCCTGCATCCATTCCCTCTGCATCTCCCTGTCTCCCCTGTGTCCTTTTCCTTGGTTGCCCCTGCATCAATCCCCCCTGGAATTAATCCCCTTTGTCCCCCCTGCACCCATCCCCTCTGCATGCCCCTGTCCCCCTTTTTATCCATTCCCTTGCCCCCCCCATCCACCCCGTCTGCATTCCCCTTCCCTCCCTGCCTCTGTCCCCTGCATTTGTCCCCATTACGTGCAGCCCTGGTCCTCTTTGCCTTCCCCCCTCCACGTGCCCCTGTGTCCTTGCCTCCCTCCCTTCTGTCCATCCCCCATGTCCCTCCAGCCCCCCCACATGCCCCACATCCCATTGGTCCCTGCCAGACTCTTGGCTCCATCCCCAGCTCTGGGGAGTGCTGGGTGCCAAGGAGTTGAAATTTCATCCAGCTGTAATCAGGAGATGGGAAAGTGGCCCCAGAGCAGCTCAACTTTATTTTTAGCTCTCCTTCCCTCCTTCGGCATCACACCCCAGCATCGCCCCACACCACGGCTGGTGCACAGACCCCACAGGTGCTGAGAGCCCTGTGCCAGGTGCTGGGCAGGGGATGGGGTGCTCAGTGCCACTTGCACAGCGGCCACCAAGTCCAGGGAGCTGCCCTGGGGTCCTGCCGGGGTTGTGCCAGGCGCTCGATGCCACCCGAGGCTGCCGCGGCCCCAGTTAGCCCAGCGGGGTGAGGAGCCGGCCGCAGGGACGGATGAGGCCAGTCCCTGCCTGCAGTGGAGCCGAGGACAGTGAGCACCTCTGGGACACCACGTGGCACTGGAATTCCACCCCATGGCTGAAGTGCCGTGGGGTCTTTGTGCTCAGACGTGGCCACACATCCCAGCCTGCCCAGGTGACCAGGACACACGTCTGCTTCCCTCTCCATCTTCCCCCAGGACTCTCCTGGATCGGTCCCCTCTATCCCCAGGGATGCCTGCCCTGGATCTGGCACCCCCTGGGGACACCTCACTCCCTGATGGACCTCTTGGCTTTTGATAATTATTTTTTTTTCCTTTCTCTTTTCCAGAAAAGCTCAAGCAGCACAAAATCATCTTTGTGGTTGGTAAGTCTGTGTCTGGATCCTGTGTCACTGGTGGGATCAGCCCACGCCTTTTCCCTGTACCTCTAGGCTGGGGAAACAGGGCTGGAGGCTGAGACTGGGCTATTCCCAGGCACTGTGGGATGGCCATGGCTCCAGCTTGGCTCCTTGAGTCCACATGGGGTATGGTGGGACCAGGAGGGCACTTCTGGCCAGACATGGGGTGGCAGCATCTGAGGTGATGTGACAGTAAACCACTGGGGGTTGATGTGACAACAAATCCCTGGGAGGTAATGTGACAAAACCCTGGGTGGTGATGTCCTGGGTGCCATCAGAGTGTGGTGCCCACATCCCAGTTCCCAGCAGCCCATGTCACCCCCAAGCACTTGGGCAGCCACGAGGAGCTCTGTCCATCCCCTTGGTGCTGGGCTTGGGGACACCAACTGCTGTGTCACTGAGCTCTGAGGGCTCGTGTGTGTCTGTGCTGCTCCCGTGTACCCTCCCTCTCCTTACCCATGGCTGGGGCACACGTGTGCCTTGCAGGTGGCCCTGGCTCAGGCAAGGGGACGCAGTGTGAGAAGATCGTGCAGAAGTATGGCTACACCCACCTGTCCACGGGGGACCTGCTGCGGGCAGAGGTCAGCTCGGGCTCGGAGCGGGGCAAGAAGCTGCAGGCCATCATGGAGAAGGGAGAGCTGGTGCCCCTGGTGAGTCCCTACCAGCTGTCACATGGTGGGGTGAGCAGGGCTGTCAGTGGGGCTGCCACAGTAATGGCTGGCACACGGCTCGGGCATCTCTGGCTCTGCCATCCCAGGGCGGGGTTTGCAGCAGGGA